ATCAAAGGTTTAGGGTTCAGGCATGCAAAGCGCCCTTGACCTTAAACCCTCTGTGGTGGGCGCGCACACACACATGAAGCAGGGTGTGTGGTTTTGGGTGAGTATAGATAGGATCTTTCTAGGAATATCGGTGAGTGCACATATTTGGTGCCTTTGCAACACCTGACCCCGAAAATTAGTGTCCTACCATGAAACCCGTAAGAAGGTACCGAAGCGCTCAACCCTAAATTGAGAAGCTTTTTTTTCCGGGGGGGGGGGGGGGGGNNGTTGGATTTACGGTGTAAGAGGCTCTACATGGGAGTTTTCAAACACATGGAGACCGCACAGATATATACTGCGCAAATACTGTGGTCCATTTGTACGAGCTCTCCGAAGGCGAAGCCTAATCTGGGTTGCTGTCAAGGAACTTAATCTAAGTGACCATAAGCAGGAAGCCCGTTTGTTTGCCATATACCCATGTTACAATAGCTTAAGCGAAGTTCCTCAGCAGCAACCCAGCAACTGTTGAAGACTGTAATCCCTATAAACTATATACTTTGATGCAGGATATTTGCAAGCCACACGTACCCGGGCCAGACAATGTGTCCACGTTATTTCCATGTTCTTGTCCATGTGGTTCTTCATTATTGAAGCATACATAGCATCTCCACAAACTCCTTCCCTTCCTATACATCCTTAAATACCTTATATAGTCCATATATCTCCCTCTAAAAGCACCCCTACTTTTTGGACCCGCCCCGCATCTCACTTTCACAACAGTCCTTTGGCGGCTACACTGCCTTGGATTCGCGTTTGAAAGCTGTGGCCGCCATCATGGAGACACTTAGCTTGCACCAGTTAAGGGCGGCCTAGCGAGTAACAATAGGGTGTATAGGGCTTAGCATGTAGGATTCGGTGTTCAAGGCTGGCTCAGAATTTAGGGTCGGGGGTTGAGACTTTCGGTTTAGTGTATAGGATTTAGGGTTTGGGGCATATAATTCAGGACTGGATGTCTTGGGCTCCAAGTAGGCTTTATCTGTAGTCTTAAGACCCCAAAGTAGCCCGTACTTCTGGGCTCATGGACCCGCAGGCTAGATGTTCGTGCCCGTGCTTTTGTGGTCCGCAAACCTTGGTAAGGGCCGGAGACAACAGCATATGGGTGGCTGTAAAAATTATGATCCCTTTTTTGGGTACCCTAAAAATTAGGTGCCGTATTATGATAGGGATCCAAAAAGGGCCCACAATTTGGACAACCACCCATATCTTAGGTCAAATCCCCCTACAGCAACAGCCTTTAGATATGAAGTTCATAGGGCCTTTATATACCTACATTAGTACTTTGTGGTACCCATTACTGAGTGGGTATCGACCCGAAGCATACCTAGGATTAGCGTATCAGCCCAATACAGCATGCAATGCAGCTTGTGATTGTAGCGTCGATTGGGCAGTAAGGGTTTGTTTCCGGCAGTTGATTTTGGCGTCGAAAGAGGGCCAAGGGTTCAACATCTGATGTGTGCTGTAGAGGCGTACGTAGGAACCAGTAACATGCCTTTGTAAGCCTTAGTAGCTGTAGTAGAAGTGCCTGGAAGACTTGTTCTAGTTGTCCAGGCCTCTACAGCAGATTCTCCCTAAGCGACTACTCTGAAGCCCCACGGGAGCGCGAGTTAAAAGGACACTTGTGCTTGGGGGAAGTACCTGTACATCCCTACCAGTTGATGGGTAGTTCTAGATGAGTTTACAAGTAGGGTATGTAGGGTTATAGCCTCAAAGAACGAAATCACAACCCCACATATACATACCTCTGAAACTTCAAGTAGGGTATGGGTTCAAAGATATTCCACACACATATACTTGTTATTCGTTTGTTAGGCAACTTCGGCACCTTGCAGATGTTTTGATACATTTTTAAATATAGGTGCATGGGGTTTCCAACGCAATCTATGGGAAGTCCCTACAAGGAGAATTATCGTAGCTGGGCCTCTTTATTCGGCGCCCCATTTGTGGAGTCCACCCACATCTTTAGTTTTAACCTGTGTGACCTAAACGTCCTTGCCCTCAACGACACTACTCCCAAGAACTATGCCATGGATCTTACTGTGAGCCAGTAGGGTGAGTCTGTTGACTAGGCACCTCGCATGACCCTGGTCTTGAAGCAAGTGCACAAAGCGTCTGCCTCTCGATGGGCTCTGTGTGCATATGTCTCCCTTCAAACGCATCATGACGTTCCAAACCCTATAAAGGAACTCTTATACTGCCTCCCTGTCTCTTCCACATCTATGTACCCTTTGGTGCTTTGCAGGAAGTACCCCTTCGTCAAGGGGGCCATAGTCAATGAAGTGGGAATGCTGAACTGCGCCCCGGAGTCTTTGAATCCCATCTGCGTCGCGGCCTGAGGATGTTTTGGCAGTTAGGGTGTACTGAAGCTGAAACGTTCCCACCCTAAACCCTAAGCTTTAAACCCTAAACCCTAAGCAACACGCTCCATATGAGGCAGTCCGGAGATGAGCCCAAGTTAGTCTTGAAACGTACGAATTGTCTTAGAGGATGGGGGGTGCGTGGAAGGTCTGGCACGAAGCCAGGTTTCCAGATAGTTGGGATTTCCTGTTGGGGATTTCATCGTAAGGCTGTCCGTTTAACAAAGAATACGTACAGAGTGTGAGATTCCGGGCTTGGAATTTCCTACGCCAGTGAGCTATAGAGTAGCTTTTGGGGCAGACTCTTGAGAGCACCTACAACAGTGCTCTACAGAATGCTAAGCCGCTAGCCCTGGACAACCCTTAACCCTAAACTGCCCTAAATCCTGAAGCCTTAACTTTGGAATCGTATGCATTGACGAATCTACAAATCTACGCGCACCATTGGGTCGACCTCTTTGCCCCATGTGCCAACATGAACTATCTGAACACGATTCTTGCTTCTTTTGAAATAGAAGCTCACATGGAAGTTCTCAAAATGCTCCTTCCTCACCTGTTTAATCCCTTCATGTCGCCTTTTACATTCCCGATGTTTCTAGGGTACCCTAAGCTCTAAACCCCTATCCTGGCTTTTCGCATGCTTCCACCGGTTATCCCTTAAGCCCTAAAGCGCAGGTCCCTAACTCCGGGAAGTATCCGGCATCCGCGACCTCGGACCACTCCTGCCCATCCAACGAGACTGTGATGACTTAATTTTTGGGGGGTTAAGGGTTTAGGTGAGGGAATCCTATATACTTACAAGGTTGCTGTTAATTACATGATATGGGTCTATAGGGCTTAGGGTTTAAATTAGCAATATATGAGTATATAGTAAATACAAGGGTTTCCTTCTTATAGTTTTAATCCTAGTTGAGTTCCTTGACGGTGACCCAGTATTCACGGTTCAGGGTGTAAGAGGTTGAGGTTGATGCGTTTAGGGGCTTAATGTCGAAGCCTGAAGAAAGGCAGATTATCTGATCATAGCCGCCATGTGACATCATGTACTGGTAGCGTTGCGTACCTGCCAAAGCCCTGCGTTGAACATGATGGGCACATGGGTATGGGGGTTTGGTGTTTAGGGTTCAGTGTGAAAACAAGCTGGATAAGAAAATGGAAGCTGCCATAATTGGGGTTATATAGGGATTACGTGGGGATAATGGAAAAGAACATGGAAGCTACTTAACATGGGATATTGAGCATTGTTGGCTCCTGGCTTGTTGGGTTGGGCACCTACGCGCAAACAGTATGACAAGAAGAAAGCTCAAGAAAGGTCAACCGCTGTTTTTTTATCGCAATTTGGGTGGGTTGCATGTAAGAGGACTCCTTGGCTTTGATACAACACATATGACATGCACCCAACACCTAAAAAGTACTTGCAAGTTCCCCAGCCCCACAGGCCACTCCAAGTGCAAGTACTCATTAGCGTGGATTCCGGCATTATCCCCCTCTATACTACCCACTCTCCCCCAGGCTTTGGTTGAATAAGGGTTCTTGGAGGACGAATAAGGCCAATCAAGATTAATCGAGGGCTAACAAACCGGGGTTAAGGGAAGCCATATCAGGAGAGATGTGTTTCAAAGCCCCAGTATCCTGCTATGGTGCCCCTCCTTGTGAGTTCATATGAGGAGAATTACAGCAAATTGAGGCCCATTTAGGGGCCCGCTGACTATGGAAACCTTCATGCATACCCAATGACGCACTACGTTCTCAACATGCAAAACAGTGCCAACTTACCCTTTCACTCTCAAACACACCCTTTGCGAGAAAGATGCAGTACTTCATTCTTATGACACATAGCAGGCTATAGGCAGAAAGTCAGGTACTGGAGAAATGGGGCGTCCCTAAGCCATCACACACACCCTAGCCTTCAATCTACTCAACCCATAGAGTAGGTTCTATCCCAGGACCCTCCTTGTACCGTTAATTGGGGATATGTGGTCCCTAATAGTAGGTATTTAGGCCCTAATGGAGGGTAGGAGGAATAAGAACGTTCATGCTGCCGGCTCCAAAAAAAAGGCACCCGTAAGCCAAACCTCAGTGCCAACCTACCTCAAGGATCAACTCCCTAACGGCATGGCAAGCTTTATCGACAAGATCTTTGAATCTCCGTGGCATGTTTAAAGGGACTTTAAGAGGAACCCCAAAACAGGGAAAGCCCAAGAATATGGTAGCAATATAAGAGGAACTATTATATTCTTGAGGTACTGTGTCTTGGGGTTCCCATTAAAGTCCATGTAGTGTTGGTTGCAGAGTTCATGTTTGGCATTGCGCGGCCAGCGGCCAGGGATTGTCAGGCCGGTCTCAGGATTAAGTGTTTCGGGCTTCGGGTTTAAGATTGCGAGTCTAGGGTTTAGGGTATAGGGTTAAGGGTTTAGGATATAGGGTTTAGTGTATAGGCTTGAGGGTGTAGGGTATCATTGGAGTACTTCGGTAGTATGATGCTCTTTCTGCACCTACATAGTAGTGAAGCACTCGACCTTCATGGGAAAACGGTAACCGTGGAGGATGCCCAGGCCACCAAAAACCTCAACACCCTGAACCCTAAACGCCCCGGAACCCTACGAACCTGAAGCCTGAAACCTCAAGCCCATGACCTTCGACCTTCTGCGGGTTGAGGGTTTAGGGCTTAGCTCTGAGGGTTTAGGGCTTATGACCGTGGGGACTTGAACATGTGCTTTAGATGCGAGTATGCATGAACATATGTATTGACTGACTATTCCTTACAGTAGTTGACATATCTTCGGCGAGTTTCAAGAGTTAGTGCTATCTGCTTAGGGCGTCCTCCTAACAACGGTCGTAACTATTGGAGTTCATCATGGGTTTCCCCCAATTTTTGGAAACCCTGAACCCTACACCATACTGAATGTAAGTGGCGTGCGGGTAAGCGGCGAGTATTTGAGCGGCTCCAGGCAAAAGTACGATCCCCGCTTAATACTGCCATATGTAGGGGCCAGAGAGCTGAGTTGCTGTAGTACATGGGTGCTTGTCAAAATTGTGGTTCCTTTTTGGATCCCTATTATAATACGGCAGCTAATATTTAGGGTACCCATAAAGGGACCATGATTTTGACAACTACCCACATGAATACTGGGAATAGCTGAGGTGGTTCTAGGGCTTCTAGGGGTTAGATGTATACTTGCTATGTCCCTCTGACCCAAATCGTGTCAAGGCGGAGGTCGTGCTTGCTGGATACATTCAATATTCCCTACTCCTAAGGGTCCAAGGACCCAAATCATAGGGTTTTAGGGCCCAAATACCATTAATATGGTAGTATGTGGGACCTAAAACCCTATTATTTGGGTCTTTGGACCCTTAGGGTACTCCTTGTGAGCCAACCCCTCTGAACACAGTAGCCATGGAGCTCGAGGAAGAAGCCTTTTGAGCTCTTGGCATCATCAATTGTTTTAGGGCTTACGGTGACGGGAGGTTTCTCAAAAAAAGGAAACCCTCGGAGTGGTGAGGGATCATTGGATCCACTTGCAGCATCATAGAGGAATTCTGTTTGTGCGTGTTACTCCCTCATGTTTCCTACAGAACCCAGCAGCAGGTCTTACATATATTTAGGTGTTCCGCATTTCCACCTTCCAAGGACTATGTCATCAATGCCAAGACCAGCGACGGGCGCGAGGCAGGTGATATGGAGCACCCGTAGGTTCATGGCTTTGGTAGACGGGTACATTGGTGAGCGCCAACACACTGCAAACCCCACAATTTCCTCTTGGTGTAGGAATGGTTGCAGGGTTCATATGCTGGCACTCTTGGCACCTTCCGGAATGGAAATCAGGGTCGCCGTGCATGAAGTCAAGCCTTAAACCCTAAACCACTAAGTCCGACACCCAGAAATCAAACCTTTCACAAGGCACCAGACGATGGTCTGGTGGAACATGTGGGTAGGGTGACCCCAAGTTTGTGCAGTGCCCGTGTAGGAAGAAGAGGAGCCCTGAACCTCTCAACATCCCCAGTTGGCCTCGGGTTTCTTATGATGTGGGAGGGGGCCAGGATTCGGAATCCTTTTGGAGGCTTCTTAGAAGTAGAAGTGCAGTAATTACAGACAGTAAACTCACGGGCACGAAGACCCTGGAAGTTAGAATTCCGCTAGCCGTGAGTCTGAATCCTAAGGCTTGAGGGCCTACCTAGGGTATTCTTTCGAAGGGTTTTTTGGTACGCGTAGGCATAGGGACTTGAGGGTTCCGGACATTTTTGGAGGGCCCCTAAACCCTAAACCCCTAAACCCTAAACCCCAAACTACCATGCCTGGGACCTAGACCTGGCCTTGAAATCAGCAAGACTAAGGTGACTAAGGTTCCAAGGACCCAAATAATGGGGTTTTAGGGTTTAGGGGTTAAGATTTATAGGGTTTAGGGGCAAGGACCCAAATAGTAGGGCGTTAGGTCCCAAATACCATTGATGTTAAACGTACTTGAGCCCTAAAGCCCAATTATTTGGGTCCTTGGACCCTTAGGGAAAGACTGGGTTTGTAACAGGCCTGGTCGGCCTTTCCCCAACAGGCTTTTAACAGAGATGCCCAACCTGTGAAAAGCACATTTGAGCTACACTCTGAACTCCTTCAAAAAGATTAAAGAGGGGTTTTTTATAGGTACTATTCTAGGGGTTATTAAGGGGGCTACTAGGAGTTTAGACCATAGCTCAGTTGTGACAAGGGCCTTTGCTGGGGCATGCGTGTACCAAGCATCCACGACAAAGGTAGATAACAAAAGGCCACGACAGAGGAGTATTGGGAGGCCCGTTCCACAGCCACTTTACATCCAAACTCCCAGGCACTCAATCCTGTCTTTTTTGCACATGGCTCGAATCCAAGACCCAAACTGCAGAAAACCCATCTTCCAAATCTTAGGTAGCAACTAGAGTCATAGCTACGTTAAGACCTACTATGTCTCCCCATACGTATTACTCTGGATAACACTCGTATTTCGGAGTTCACGGCATCCACGCAATTCAACCCTAAGATCCCCTGTCAGGTACCCTAAACCCTAAACCCAAGATCCCATGTCAGGTGGTAAAGGGCTTTTCCTGGTTCAACCAGGACCAGGATGGAGGCGCAGCGAAGTGTAGCTCTTGTGGTCTACACACACTTTCACTGGGTTGGTGTTGAATAGGGTTTAGGGTTGAGCATTTAGGGTTTACGGTTTACTACAACCAAGAACTTGTAAATAAAGAGGTTGCTGCATGATGGCAACTTAGCGTAAGTTCCCTGACAGCAACCCAGTTTGAACTTTAAGCACGGGTGGAAAACGCGTTGTGGAGATCCTGAGGATGATGGATGGTGGATCAGGGAGTGCGCGTTCGGTGTGAGGAATACTGGATTTAGATGGGGTTTTTGACAGGATGTCGCAGGATTTTGGGTGCACAGGTATAAAGAGCAGAGTTGAAAACATGAGGGCTCCTTGACATCTTCTTGCGCCGTGTTCATTTGGAAGCCGCTTGGGAACTTGACAAGGTCTCGAGTGCAGGGTTCACTCTTGGCAGGTGGTGTTTGGCAGCCGCAAGTGATTGGATCCTATGATAATTGCGTCTAGTTCAGCATGTTTTTGTCAAAGCTATAGTAACTTAAATTAAGGTCCTTTAGCCCCGATATTACCCCAGTCTCCATGTAATCTTCCATGTTCTTTTCCATTTCATTCTCCATAAATTATGTGGGTGGTTGTCAAAATTATGGTCTTTTTTTTGGGTCCCTATTATAATACGGCACCTAATATTAATTTAGGGTACCCCAAAAGGGACCATAATTTATTTTGACAACCACCCATGTGGCTTCTGTCCAGGCTTCAGGATCAGAAGTGCCAAGCTTCCTGTCCCGTAAGGTTTAAAGGGAGATTATAGGGTCATATATAGAGATGTATGGGGACTATAGAAGGGTCCAAGGACCCAAATGACAGGGTCTTAGGGCTCAATAAAAAACTTTGATGGCATTTGGGCCGTAAAGCCCTGTTATTTGGGTCCTTGGGCATTTAGGGTGTGAAAGAAAGGCCTACGGCCCAGTCCTGATCATCCCAACTGAAGCATTCAAAAAATGGAACCCCTAATAATCCCCTAGTTTCCCCAATGTAGTAATGGGTTCCTATTGGGGGGGGTACTTTTTTGGGTCCTAAACCCTAAGCCCTAACCTTTTCCTAAATCCTAAGCCCTAAACCCTAAGCTTTTTGCTAAACCCTAAACCCTAATCCCTAAATCCTCTACTTTAGGGGATCTGGGTTCATGAAGGCACCTACAACCTGCGTCTCTTCAACGATGACGGCTCCATTAACAAGGCGAGGATGCGGACGAACCTAAAGTGGGTCCCGGGTTTGGTAGGGCCCTGGGTTTAGGGTTAAAGGTTTAGGTTTTCGAGCTTGGGGTTTAGGGTTTAGGGTTGAGGGCTTGGGGTTTAGGAATTCAGGTTTAATGAGGTTTTAGGGCTTGGGGCTTAATGGTAACTATGTTATATTCTTGGAATACAATTCTTAATTAGTGGGTAGGTCCAAGGTTTGAGGTTTGGGGAGTATGCCTGGCTAGGGGCTTCCCCATTCTCTGGGTTATAGTATGTTGGGACACATCGAGGGAGTGTGCAAATACCCTTCTATTGCCCTCCGCTATACCCAAGAGTGCGCATTCAGGACATTCAGCGGTCAAGGACCCCTATTGCCGGTGTAAGGGTACCGGCAGGGTCAATGTACAGGAAGGTCTTTAGATTGGTACGGGTGGCTACGCTAGTTTTCCAAGTTTTGAGACAGTGAGTATAGTTTATGGAGCTAAGGGTCTACTAGGTTGTGTTTTGCATCCGTCTTGCATCCCGTACAATTATAAAGCCACCGGAAGAAGATGACCACAAGGCATAACGTGATTGATACAAACCATGATGGTGGTCACATGCTGATAGACAATTAAAGTCGCGGTAAGGTTGTATTTATGATCCTGTCCTTTACAGGCCCTGTCCCCTGATAGCACTTCTTCCCGCGAAAAATCAGGGATGAGTCATTAGGGGGTATGACGTCGCAAGGGGATGAATTCAACATTTGTGTTGTTTGCAGGGGGATCCTTGTAAGGAATGCCCCTGGTTGTTGAGGTATGATGTTTGGGGCGAAAAGGGTTGGTACCAGACAATGCGAAGCATTCCAGCAGAGCACATGACTGGTACTTGGTCCGGCATGTCAGCTTCTTGGGCGCGCGAGAAGAAGCTGGAGCTCCCTGCCCCCTTTGGAGAGGGTTTGAAGACCCAGGCAAAACTCATAGGCCTCACATGAGTGGTTGTCAAAATTATGGTCCCTTTTTGGATCCCTATTAAAACACGGCACCTAATATTTAGGGTACCCAAAAAAGGACTTTCTTTGACAGCAGATGCTTGCCGCACTATCTTCTGTGTCAAGGGCTTCAAGGCAAGAAGAAGAAGGCTCAGGCGCTGTGGTGCCAATTGGCCCTGGGGGTGCAGAACTTATTGGCTCATCTATACATGTGTTTGGACTTCGCAATCATTATTATTGGAAGCCACAAAGACTCCAAATCTATTTCTGAGGATCCCCCAAAAGTAGCTGACTCCTATATGCTCGGATCCCACTGGATCCTGACTTGCCAGGCGGGTGAAGCTTACATGGCGGCTTGCGCGCGATGGCGGCGATGATGCTCTTGGCAGACAGCGCACCTCTGCAGCGTTTGGTAGCTGCTGGTGCGCGCGGAAAGGATGGTTTAGGGTTTAGGGTTCAAGGATCTCTGGTCGATTTTTTCACAATACCCATAGCATTCTGGCACGGCAGCTGCATTTCTGCATTCCATGCGAACGTAATGACCCGATTTGTGATTTAGCGCCTAGCTACCGTCACGTGATTACATAGGCTTTGGAGCTAAGCTTCGCATGGCGAAATAGCTAACAGCTGATGTGTTGAACCAAAACCTTGACTACAATTTCATTTGTCAAAGCCCCAAGTAATCAGTCATTCGTGGTGCTTTGGGGCCTGTGGTAATACAGTTTCCAAGCAGAGTTTCGTGAGTTGGAAGCAATGGTTCCTTCTCAAAGGTTTGTGGTGCTAAGCCAGTGCCCAAGTTTAGTTGGGTTTGAAGCCTTACTTTTGCTCTCCTCACCTCTTAAGTAGATAGAATATGGGGTTTATGGGGATCTTATTAAAACATACCCAAAGCCATATTCTATCTACTTAAGGGAGACTATAGGGTTTAGGGCTTCATCTAGCTGGAGGTCACCATACGTTCCACGGAGTGCCATTTGGTGACACCCTGGCATTGTACTCCCACGATTTTGGTTGGGTTTTGGGTTTAGGGTTTATACGATTTTGGTCAGGCAGTCCCGTCAGCTGAAGCTAATGTAGCCCAACACCGTGGTCCTAAGAGCCCCTTACCCAGGCTGCAAGCCTGACGATTGAGGGTCTGACACTAGGTACCTAAAACATACCAATACCGGAGAATCCAATTGGGACATGGAACATGAAATAGAAAGTGGCTTCAATATACTGTATCGTGGCATAAAGAATGAATAAGACGGCAGAATGATCAACCTTAGTCCCCCTATGATGCTTATATGTCTGTAGGATGGTCTACCACCAAACCCTGTTATGACAATTTAAAGCGGATCCCTAGTTTTCCAGGGTTGGGGCTTATGCGGCTTAGCGATTTGGAAGCCAGGGCTTTCAATTTAGGAACCTGTAGTGTCGAGGGTTCAAGGGGCCGCAGCAGTTACTTATTCATTGTCCTTCCCTGGGATTGCTTGCGTATGGCATTGCTTGTATACGTATAAATTCCAACTGATCTGCCAAAAAAATCAAAGTGGTCCAAATAGCCGAATTTAGGGTATATGTACAGACTTTAGGGCCCGATGTAGTTATCATTCGTATACCTGGATCCCCAAGGAAACGACCCTAACCCTAAACCTTTGTCCGAGCATCTTTTGGTTGTAGGAATTCCAGGAGGGGCCCACATGATTCCCCGCAACGGCAAAAACGAAAGTCTTGTTTCGATTCGTTTGGGCTCCTACCTAGACCCTCCTCCTACCCTCTGTTAGGACCTAAGTACCTAGTATTAGGGAACATATATCCCCAATTAAGGGTACAAGGAGGGTCCTGGTACATGATTCTCTCAGCATACCTGGCACTGAAGAAGCAAGAGCCTTCAGAAATTGAGATTCGGATTCGTAATGAAGTTTTTGGGGACCCAAAGCTCTGGGCTTTGTGGGGGTAGGTTTACGAGTTTGGATTAAGGAATTCGGATTTAGGGAGGGTTTGGGCTTCGGATGCTGAAGTTGAGTACTCCCGCCTTTGGGCGAAGTACTGTCTTGCTTACTCGGCAAACTGACGCATTTGGACAACCTCACCCGAACTGCAACCAAAGGTTGTTTACGTAGAAAATCATCCTCAACACGGTTAATTTGAGGTTCTGAGACTTTCTTAAAACCGCCAGTTGTCGAGGCTCCTTTATTCTTTCAGGACCACATTGTTTGAAGCCTAAACCCAACCCCTAGGCCCTAAACCCTCATCCCCAGACCCTGAACCCTAAATAGTAATTTCCATTTTCCTTTCCATTATCCCAATATAACCCCAATAATATACCCTATAATCCTTATATAACCCCTATAATCCCTGTAGTTTCCATTTTCTTTTCCATTATCCCTATATAACCCCAATATAACCCTAATATTCTATCCCCAATATACCCTTCTATAACCCCAAACCCCAAGTTGCATTGTCAGGCAACTCGGAACGACTTGCGCAATGGGGCCAAGAAAAGAAGGGCCTCCTGCCTTCCCTGTGAGGTTTGAGCCGCCCATGTAGTTCCTAGGGTTTATGGGATTCGGGGTTTAGGCTGTGGGGTTTATAGGGTTCAGGGTTTAGGGGGGGTATTTTGGGTGGTATGCTGAGTTTAGGGGTTCAGGGTTTCGGGAGCATTTTGGGTGGTATGTTGAGTTTAGGGTTCAGGGTATAGGGGCATTTTGGGTGGTATACTGAGTTTAGGGTTCAGGGTTTAGGGGGTATTTGGGGTGGTATCTGGAAAGTCCTTACCAAACATGACAAAAGTCCAAAAAGGGAAGTATGTACATGAGGTGGAGGGCCCCGGCACTAGGAAGCCCGATTTCAGACAGTCTCAGTGCCTTCAATTAATCCCCCTCCGTTTAACATTAATCCCCCAACCCCCCTCCCTAAAATTGATATTCTCAAATTTAGTATAATATACCACCTAATTGGAGCTTTTAATATTTGAGGGGATGGGGGGGTTGAATCTTAGGGGGAGGGGGATCACAGACTGCTCGCAGGAAAGCCGGGCCATGTCAAAGGCTTTACACACGAAGTACCGGTGGGTAACACCAGGTGTCAGGATCAACAACGGAATGCCCCTTGTTTGTGGAGTCGTTCAATCCATGAAGCACTGACTTCGTGATGTTTTAGAGGCTCATAGGTCTCAAACCAGGGAATACTGCCCGTTGCTTGGGCTCCCGTGCAAGACGCAGCCGGGAGCAGGGCGGTGCGAGGAGCACCCAATTCATTCTCTCACGGCCCTTGGGAGGGGTGTTTTGTTCAGATCTTTCCACACCCGAAGGGTCCAAAGTGCCTATATGGTACAAAGTATGGTTTCTGTAGTAGTAATTTCTCTTATGGTTTGGGTAAGTATTCCCCATATGGGTACTTAGGACCCTTTGGGACAAGAAAGCCTGAGAATGGGACCCGCCCTCCAATTCGTAGTCCTCTAGATGATGCCCACAGCCCTCCCCTGTGCCATCTTTGGCGCTGCGCTGCTACCAAGAGACCGAACAAAAAGACGACCTTTGACAGTCAAGCAGATGCTTCTCAAAGTAGCTCAAGGTGGCTTTCCCTAAGGGTCCAAGGACCCAAATAATAGGTCTTCAGGTCCCGAATACCATTAATATTATAGTATTGGAGCCTAAAACCCCATTATGTTGGTGCTTGGACCCTTAGGGTTTGCCATGGGAACCATAAAGTCCCAACGGCTTTCCTACCAATCGCTCAGTTCTCCAGAGCCTGTAGAGTGCAAGCACATGCCACTCGCTTTCACCTAAACCCTAAACCCACTGCAGAAACTTTAGGCTTCGACCCTACTGTAGAAGGCTAAGAATAAGGTCAGAATGAGGTCTGCTACAAGTAGTCAGAGTTTTGGTGCGGATCATGTTTAAACCTTGGAGAGCTAGAAATTAAGGGAATCTGACAATTGAGACACAACAATTGTAAGTTTATCTTGACCTGAAGGTGTAATGCAGATCCATGATTAATAAACCCCCTCTTTTAAGGGCCTTAATATTACGAATCCCTATTATCCTTATTAAGGGGAGGGGGTTGTCACTCAGGGGTCTGGGTTAGGATTCAGGGCCTGAGGTTACTAACTACCAATACCGGAGGGTCAAGCGGGCAAGGAAACGAAGAACGACATGGAATCTGGGGTTGTGCAGAGACTTCTTACTGGTTGTTGAAGGTAGAAGCCAGCATAGGTGCCAAGATCATCCTCTTATAGTCCTTATCTAAGCATACCCCTAAACCCTAAACCCTAAGATTTCATACCCAGAAGCTTGATCCCGGTCATCTAGGCTCCTACATTGCCTTTCACGCAGCTTCAGTACCCAAAATTAAGATGCGAACCGCATGCGCAGGGATCCGGGTGGAGTTTCAGCCAGGGAAGAGAACCACTGAGTGGCGTTTTCATCTCGAGCTGCGCAGACCTCCCTAACTGGTGAAGCATTCCCTGCTCTTAATATAGGCTTGCAGAGGAACTCAAGCACCCTAGTGGGGCGATTCAGATGCCCTGCTTTGGAAAAGTAGAGGCTTGAAAGCTAGGGAAATATGAACAAGAAATCTCGAATTCAGAGTGCCAACGATGACGTTGACAGTCATGGGAACAGTACCGCGGTAATATTCGACAAGCACGATCCGTATCTTTGTCATTGTTAGTGATAAGAGAAGGCTTCTGAATCTTAAATCCCAGCAAGAGAAAGGCAAAAGTGTGAACCATTCCGACACATGGGGGCTTCCAAAATTGGCGTTTCCTGATTGGGCCGGGCCGTTATGACAAGGACTACAGTGACTATAGTGTCTCTAATACTTATGTCGGGGTCTACAATGCCCCCCCCGCCCCCTAATCATGGAATTCCCCCGCATCCCCGAACCTAAACTGACCCCAAGACGCCCCCGCCTCATGGAAATCAGGCCCTTGATTAGGGTTTGGGGTTTAGGGATTCGGGTTTAGGGACTAAGGTTTAGGATTTAGGGTTTAGTGTTGAGGGATATAGAGATTGGGGTTTCAGGATTAGGTTCAGGGACTAGAGATTAGGGCTTAGGATCAAATGGAAATGTGGAAAATGACATGGCAACAGGGTTAATAGAGGGGCTTACAGGGATAGTTGCCAATACTTTGGTCTAGACTTTGTGTAGTTGGGGTATAGGGTACCTCGACGAGACCTCAAAATCATAAGGGTGAAGATTTATGTCCCTATAGCAGGGTTCCACAAGGACCCAACTAGGAGGATACTTAGATTCTCTTTGAAGGGGAAGGGGCTGACTAAACTGGAGTCAAGGAGCATATGCAGTAAATGCCATGAGCACACGACACCAAAGCCTTAGATAGCCTAAGCAACACATTAGAGGTCTATGACCCCAACCCCCCTCAACCTAT